AGAGGATTTGTGCCTAACACAAAGAAATGATAAATGCCCAAGGTGATAGATTTCCTAAATAACCTTGACTTGATGAAACTTTCCGTGAATGCATCAAAATATCCTGTGTACCCCATAAATATGTACAAATACTATATAACCAATAAATTTTTATTTTTATTTTTTGGAGACAGAGTCTCACTTTGTCACTCTTTGTAGAATGTTGTGGCATCATAGTTCACAGCAGCCTCCAACTCTTGGGCTCAAGCAATCCTCTTGCCTCAGTCTCCCGAGTAGCTGAGATTATAGGCGTCCACCACAATGTCCTGTCTTATTTTTCTATTTGTAGTAGAGATGGGATCTTGCTTTTGCTTGCTGGTCTTGAACTCCTGAGGTCAGGCAATCCACCTGCCTCGGCATCCCAGAATGCTAGGATTATAGGCCATTGTGCCTGCCCCAAGTTATTTTTTTTTAAAGTAACTAAAAGAAATGATAACCTAAATGAAAAATTTTTGTAATATTCCATTTAAAATTAAAAATGAGATAAGACATATTATTCTTTGTATTGGAGGTTCTAGCTAGTATAGTAAGACAAAAGAACTTGGAAGTAATTAACGTTTGAAGAAGAGAAAATGAAAGTGTAGTTATTTGTCATTTATATATAAAACTCAAAGAATCTAAAGTACTAGAAATAAAAAGTGAGGATGATTTGCTAGGCCATAAAAGTCTCAACAAATTTTAAATTTTATAAGTTCAATTTACACAGCATATGTTGTCACAGTGGAATTAAGCTAGATAATAACAAAAGGTAACAAGAAAATTCCCACATGTTTGATATTTAAGTAATATTTTGTACTGACAAAAAGACAAGATATTTTGAACTGAATGGTAATGAAACTATTATATATCAAAACGTGGGTTTCCTGTGCTTAGAGGGAAATTTATAGCCTTAAATGTAGCTATTGGAAAGGAAAGACTGGAAACAAAGCATTGTTGATCTTAAGTATTAATCTCAAGAAGTAAAAAAAAAAACAGTCAAATTTAAACCTGAAGGAGATATTAGTATAATTGGAAACACGTACAACAGAATTAACAAAGCCAAAAGTTCTTTGAAAAGCTATTTAAATTGATAAACCTCTTACAAGATTAAGATGAATCTTAAAGGAGACATCACTAAAGAGTACAGACGTTAAAAAGATAATAAGAGGATTTTATGAACAACTTCTGCTAATATGTTAGAGAATTTTGATTTAAACGTGGGCAAATTACTAGAAAAACTAATAAATTGACATAGGAAGCAGTAAATCAGAATGGTACTATATTTTAGAAGTCGAGTCATTGTTAAAAACTCAAAGAAGTGAACTCAAGGCCCAGATGTGTTACTGGTAAATTCTTCCAAACAAGGTAGAAGAGAAAACCTCGAGGTTGTTTATGAGGGAAGTGAACTGACAAACTTCTGGGTTTTTTGTTTTTTTTTTTAGACAGACTCTCACTTGTTACCTTTGGTAGAGTGCTCTGGTGTCACAGCTCACAGCAACCTTAAGCTCTTGGGCTCAAACTATTCTCTTGTCTCACCCTCCCATGTAGCTGGGACTATAGGTGCCCACCACAACACCCAGCTATTTTAGAGATGAAGTCTCACTGTTGCTCAGGCTGGTGTTGAACCTGTGTTCACCTGCCTTGGCCTCCTAGAGTGCTAGGATTACAGGAATGAGCCACTGTACCCAGTCCTGACAAACATTTTTAATACCAAAATTGGACTAGAAATACAAGAAGAGAAATTATAAATAATAATACATTATGATGAGTTGGGCTTATGCAAGGAATACAAGATAGTTTTAACCTTCAGAAATCAATATTTATCATATTCATAGATATAATAGGTAAATTCAGTCAAGGTGGCTAGATATAAGAATTAATACTCATACACAAATGTCATTAGTATGAGACTGAAAGGATGACCTATGAAAGAAAAACTGATGAATGACGGTAGTCAAGTTCTAGTCCTTAACGATTACTGTTAAGATTATAAAATACGGCTCGGCGCCTATGGCTCAACCGGCTAGGGCGCCAGCCACGTACACCTAGGGTGGCGGGTTCGAATCCCCAGCCCGGACCCGCCAAAACAACAATGACGGCTGCAACCAGAAAATGGCCGGGCGTTGTGGCGGGCGCCTGTGGTCCCAGCAACTTGGGGGGTGGAGGCGGAGGCAGGAGACTCGCTTGAGCCCAGGAGTTGGAGGTTGCTGTGAGCTTTGATGCCATGGCACTCTACCCAGGGGGAAAGCTTGAGGCTCTGTCTCAAAAAAAAAAAAAAAAGATTATAAAATAGAGGGAGAAAATATTTACTGAGTGCCCATCTGTTGAAGGACTAAGTTCAAAGGAATTTTCTTTTTTAAAGCTATTTCAGCTCTTTGTTTTGCTGTTCTTATTCTTAGGTTTCTTGATAGCCCAATGTCCTGGGTTCCCCACCACCCACAGGAATGCCTTTTCTGCCTGGCTGGTGGACAAAGCAGACAGATGGTGTCTCACCTGGGCAATTATGAGCTGGCAAGAAGGACTGTTGTGGTCTGTGGCTAAATGACCAATGAAAGTTCTTTCTTTTGTATTTTTGTAGACTGCTTTAAGAAGAAAATTAAATGAAACGGAAACAAGTATCTGTAGTGTACCATTTGAAAAGTTCTGTATTTTTCAGATCGGAATGAACATCTGTCATTTGTACACATTAGTGAGACTAATATTTCCTAACAGAGTCACTTGAAGATGGCTAAAGAATTACATTCAGACTCTGGAAGGCTAGGATCTTTTTGTGGGGAATAGTGCAATCATGGGTTCCTTTGAAAGAGGTTTCACGGAAGGCTATAACTTGAGAATAGGCTTTCAAAATGGTTATTTAGTTTTTATGTTGAAGAGAAGTCTCAGCTCAATAATAGGGGGATAAGTTGAAAAAGTCTGATGAGCCTAGGAAAAGGGTTCTTTCCTAAACTGTATGGAAGAATTAATAGGAGGGAGTGCTAGAAAATGATCAAAACATTATGATGTCTTGCATCATACACGTATCTGCCTTGACTTCAACTGATTGTGTTCAGTAAACCAAAAGAAATAATTCTACTTCTCACCTCTCCTTATCTCTGTTTTTTCATTACTCTAACTGAATCCATAAACTAGGGGAAACTTTAAAAAAGGATATAAGAGTAATTTAAAGGCTTCCCTAATCAGTGACAGAAGTGAAGTGAATTAATCAGATGGAGATCAAATCATAGTGGCTTTTGTTAAGACATCTTTGAGTAAGAAATTAAAGACCAAATTGAGAGATTATTCAGTCGTCTATAATGTTTTAAATGTTACTTAAAAAAAAGAGACGTGATTCATTTTGGGTGATTTTAGGAACTTGTAAGGGTAACTTTGACTTGTGTCTAATTCCTGAATAATTTACAGTGCCACTAACTAAAATGTGGAACTGGCTCTGGTTACATCAGACTTAAATAGATCAAGGCAGTATTCTAAGGCAATTGAGTGACTTGTTGAGAATTTCCTCTAGGGAGTTGCTTATTTTTCTTTTCCCACGTTGACCTCTAAGATAACCTTTTTTAAAAAAATAACATTTCTAGAGGTAGAAAAATTGTTAAATCATTTACCTGAAGATAATGCTTATATTCCTTTTAAGGTGGTTTGTTTAGGCTTAAATAAATTTAATTTTTAATCTGTTTAGAATTATGTAGGAGAACCTGAAACATTAGAATCTTTCCTTTTTGTATAAATTTTTCCTTTGATCAAAAGTTATAAACTATGAGCTTTGCCATTGTTTTTTTTTTTTTTTTTTTTTGAGACAGAGTCTCAAGCTGTCCCCCTGGGCAGAGTGCCGTGGCATTACAGCTCACAGCAACCTCCAACTCCTGGGCTCAAGCCAGTCTCCTGCCTCCGCCTCCCAAGTAGCTGGGACTGCAGGCGCCCGCCACAACACCAGGCTATTTTTTGGTTGCAGCCGTCATTGTTGTTTGGCGGGTCCGGGCTGGGGATTCGAACCCACCACCTTAGGTGCACGTGGCTGGCGCCTTAGCCGGCTGAACTATAGGCGCCGAGCCAGAGCTTTGCCATTGTTTCTGTCAAAAGCAAGGACACAAAGTAACATTGCTAGGTATACTGTCATTGTAGTATTCTGTGAAGCCATTTTTCTTTAATTATGTTGTGCAGTTACTTCATGTAATGAAATGTTTATTGCTTAGCTATTGCATTTCAGGAAAATTGGAGTAGAATATATTCTTTTTTTTTTTTGCAGTTTTTGGCCAGGGCCAGGTTTGAACCTGCCACCTCAGGCATGTGGGGCCAGCACCCTACTCCCTGAGCCACAAGCACTGCCCGAGTAGAATATATTCTTTCCCTTTTTTTTCCCCCCCTTTTTTTTAAAGCATAGCTTAAGTGCTCAAATTAGAGTGACAGACTTTTTATGCTACTGTTTTTATTTTTGTTTATTTCCTTAGGATTCAAGGACTTGTTCTGGATACAGTATATTTTTCTCACTGAAACATCATAGGTTGTGATAGAGCTATAGCAGCAGAATTGGATAAGGAGGAGGATATCCTAGGGAGAGACATGATTCAATAGGGAAGGCCTCTGACTCTCACACATCTTATTTCTTCCTGATTCTTGGCCTAAAGGCAATATTTGTTATATTCCAAGGCTAATTGTAAAATAATATTCATTTACTTTAAATTGTCAGTAACTCTTTTAACTTCTAAATGAAACTATATTAGAATTTTGAAAATCTTACATTGGAGAACGAATTTCTAATTTTCATTATAAAATTTCCTTTCCCTCTGCTTGTATTTGTTAAAATGTTTGTAAGAATCAGCATATATCTACTTAATTCTTAACTTAAATTCTTTGACGTTATCGCTCCTCTCAGATATAAATGCCTTATTAGATTAAATCTATACAAATTAATTTGGCAAGATTTACAAATGTAATCTGTTTAGAAGAAGAGAACTAAACTTTAAATGGTTTTGATGACTATGGTTTAGGAAGCAGTACTGAAGCACCCTTTCAGTACTGTGAAACAAGAACAGCAAAGAAAATGGATTGAAGAGTTGAATAAGCAAGTAGAAGATGACAGGCAAAGAAAAATAGAGGAAAAAACTATATATTCACAGGTAACTTATGAATTTTAATGTCTATAAAGGCAAAAAAATAATTTCAAAATCTTTAATCTTATAAACATATAAGTATGCTGAAACTGGTTGACAAGACCAGATTATTCAAATTACTGCTCATTTTTTCATAGGAACCTATTTTCATTGAATGCATTTACTGTAATTTTTGCATAGCTTCTTTTAACTTTTTAGAAATTTCCTGAATTTTGAATTTCTCATCTTTTCCAAGCTAATTATCAAAATGCATAATCAAAACAAAATACAGTTTTGTTAATTTTTATGATGTTTATTCTGCTCTTGTGTGACTTCTAAAAATTGTCATGTAGGATTTTATATGAGAATAACTGGAAAAATTCTTAGCAATTCTTGTTTGTCATAATTAGGGTGAGGAACATGACAGATGGGCAATGCATTTTGATTCATTAAAGAGTTATCCTGATTCTCAGTCCTCTCAGTCAACACACAAACAACCAGAGTACTTCTGTGTCTCTCCGGACACTCAAGAGCTGGCAAATATCAGCAGTGTTTATACACCTACACCTGGAAGCCAGGTTGAACCTTCAGAGGAGGAGCATATAGTAAAACCTGTTAGGGATGTGGTTGTTGCAAACAATCAGAGAACAAAGTAAGTTCATTCTTATGTATTTATTTATTTTTAGTAGAACTGTTGTTAATGTCTAATTGATTTCAGGTTTCCTATTTTTCTTTGAAATACAGAAATGATTAGTAGGTTTATCCCAAGCAAAATGATTTCTTACTGAACCTACTACCTTTTGGGAGTTTTGATTAGCTAATAATGTCTGTCTCTTGCCAGCTTTCTCCGTTCTATGACTGCTCTCTTGGACCCAGCTCAGATTGAGGAACGAGATAGGCGGCGACAAAAACAGTTAGAACATCAGGTATGGCATTTTAAACATTGTTATTTGCCTACGTAAGTAATAGTCATGGGCAACATACACCTAAGTGAATGGAAATTAAAATTCTAACATAAACTTATAGCATGGGTCTTATCCAATCCTGTGATGAATCTATTCCCTACACCAGGCGTCCTCAAACTACGACCCATGGGCCACATGCGGCCTGCCGAGGACATTTATCTGGCCCACCAGGTGTTTTTGCCACCACTGCCTGTCCTGCTTAGCAGCCAACTCGTCCCAGGGCCCACAGTCCAGCCCTCCAACAGTCTGAGAGACAGTGAACTGGCCCCATGTTTAAGTTTGAGGACCCCTGCCCTACCCCATCTGCATTGTGCTAGTAGAATTATACTTATGATGAGAACCATACAGTGTCTCATATTATAGCCACCTGCCTTCTAATAGAAAAAGTCTTTAATATATAAGTTGTTTGGGTTGGGGCCTGTAGCACAGTGATTACGGTGTTGGCCACATACAAGTAGGCTGGCAGGTTGGAACCTGGCCTGGGCCAGGTAAACAACAACAACTGCAACAAAAAAATAGCTGGGTGTTGTGGGTGCCTATAGTCCCAGCTACTTGGGAGGCTGAGGCAAGAGAATCACTTAAGCCCAAGAGTTGGAGGTTACTGTGAGCTGTGAC